GTAGGAAATATATAAAGCCCCACCAATGTTAAACTGTACATTCAAGTGGGTAGATCAACAAAGGTATTCGAACTAAGAAATAAAAAAACAAGTCCCACCCCTGTTACGACATTATATTCGATTAGGAAGATCAACAAAGGTAAAAAAGAATATAAAAGTCCCATCCATGTTAAACTTTATATTTAATTGGGAAGATTAACAAAGGTATGAGGAAATATGTAAAGTCCCACCACTGTCAAACTTTGCATTCACTTGCGAAGATCAACAAAGGCATTAGGGAATATAATGGCCCCACCCCCGCTACACTTTACATTCAATTGGGAAAATTAACAAATGTATTCGGGAATATAAAAATCCCACCCCCGTCGAATTTTACATTCAGTTGGGAAGATAAACAAAGGTATGAGGAAATATGTAAAGTCCCACCATTGATAAACTTTACATTCAAGTGGCAAGATCAACACAGGTAGTAGGGAATGTAAAAGTCCCACCCGCGTCAAACTTTACATTCAATTGGGAAGATTCACAAAAGTATTAACAGAATATGAGAGACCCACCCCCGTTAAACTTTACATTCAAGTGGGAAGGTCACAAAGGTATGAGGAAATATGTAAAGTCCCACCACTGTCAAGCTTTACATTCACTTGCGAAGATCAACAAAAGCATTAGGGAATATAAAGGCCCCACCCCCGTTACACTTTACATTCAATTGGGAAAATTAACCAAGACATTCGGGAATATAAAAGCCCCACCCCCGTTAAACTTCACATTCGACTGGGAAGATCAACAAAGGAAGTGATGATGGTGATGTTGATGACGATGATGACGATGATGACGATGATGACGATGATGATGATGATGATGATGATGTGGAACCAACCCGCACAGGTCCCTATGCTGTGCGTTCTGATCTAGAACATCAAGTTAACTATAATGCTGAAATATCACTTTTTTACCACGCTTTCAGCTCACGAAGAAGGCGGGCCAACAGGCGCGGGCAAAAATGAGGTGTTTGGCCGTATCGTTATCATCTTGCATACGCGTCAATTATGTAATTCAGTAATTATATCATATTAACTCATATCATATCCATCAAGATCCAAGCTTGACAAAGTTTCGCCCTTCATCAGCCCGCCTCCTTGTCTTCACCGGGCCGGTGGTCTTCTGTGAGGCGCACTGCGCTCCACGTGTTCCTGAGTGCCACCAAGCAGATGCACCAAACATCAAAACAAGATCAACAAAAGCTCGACGAGAGACATCATACACATACATTAAAATATCCGCCGACCTCGGATGCGCAAGGGGGAGCGTGTAAGGGAAAAGGAGTTGGCTGCACCTTTGCTATCCCCACCAGAAAGTATCCGTCCTTCACTGCCATGGAGATTTGCCGCTGGGAGTCGGGTTTCGGAGTCGCAGCGGTGCTGGGCACAGTGCAAGTAAAGGTGTGCAGGTGTCAACGAATCAGCAAGGAGGATCCGCAAGCGAGACGAGGAAACAAGAAGAGCAAGCAAGAGGAGCATTTTGTTTTGACAGGTTTCAGAATTTACGTCCTTTGTTTTAGAGGATCAGATCCTCTATATATAGGATCTTTGCCATTTCGCAAGCGTTCCAAAGGCATATGTTATAAACAGGTGGACATAGCCTGAACCTTCCTTCGATACACTAAAAAGTGCTCAGAAACAAAAAACACTCATTTCCAAAAAAAGTGCTACAAACCCTTAAAAAGTGCTCATTTGGTTGTTTCATTTTGTCGGGCACCCCCATATGTTCAAACAGCCGGATCCCCAAGGATTCTTGCAACATACACTGACACAATCACGCTATGCTTAGGATCACGCTGCTTAGGCTCTCCGCAACCAACATCATTCGCCGCTGCTGCAAGTAAGTCATCAAATTCACTTGGATGGGCCGAACTAGACACTTAAGCTATTGAATATCCAGAGGCAAGTGTCAGTAGTGCCCGTACACTTTTTGAATTGCGGCCCGATTGCGCGAAATTGCGCCCTGATTGCGCGAATTTGCGCCCCGGTTGCGGGGTACCAAGTTGTCCAAAACGTCAAAAAATGTCAAAACACAGACAAATGTGTAGAATCAATTCTTTTGAGTTTGGTCCCAATGTGCGTCCTCCCCAGGAAGCATAAATTAGGAGATAGATGCTAATTTAGATGCAAAACTCGCTTCCAGGATTGGCTTCCACCAGCTTGAGTATGGGCTACTGTAACTTTGTGGATTTCTCCAAGAGTTTAATAGATACGAAGGTGTAAAATGGGTTTGAACCCCAAAAAGTGCTCATATCCATTGAAACCCCCAAAAAGTGCGCAGACCCTCAAAAAACGCTCAGGGATGGCAGAAAGTGTATCCAACCAGGGGTTTGCCAGAAAAAAGTGCTACAATGGAATCTCCAGGAGGTGTAAAAAGAACCTGGGGAAAGCTGAAAAGCTGAATATGCAGATGGAAACAAGTGGGAAAAGAGCCTGGAAAAAGCTGAAAATAGACAGTTTTAGCCCGATTTCAGAAAAGATGTTATTGGTGGCTTAATTATTTTGTTGCCTCTCGGGCACAAAATTAGGTGGGCTTTCTCTGTTTCGCAAGCGTCCCAAAAGCATATCATAAGTAGGTGGAAGAAGGAGCTGGAAAAAGCTTTGCTTTAGAGGATCAAATACTCTATATATACAAATAAATTCAAATAAATGAATAACTATATATATACATATATATATACGATTTGTGCCTTTTTGGAAGCGTCCCAAAGGCATATGATAAGCAGGTGGACACAGCTGGGAAAAACTTGGACAAAGGCGAAAATTGTCTTTTTTAGTGGGGTTTTGGTGGCATATTTTGCCACTTTTCGGCACGAAATTTGCTGGTGATTTGGTGTTTCGCGAGCGTCGCAAAAGGATATCATAAGGAAGGTCCCAAAGGCCATAGGTGGAAGAAGGAGCCGGAAAAAGCTTTGCTTTAGAGGATCCATGAGGATCCAATCCTCTATATATAGGATCTTTGCCATTTTGCAAGCGTTCCGAAAGCATATCACAAGCAGGTGGACACAGGTGGAAAAAGAACCTAGAAAAATTGAAAATTGTCTAGTCTATTTTAGTAAGGTTTCAGAAAGGACGTTAAGCATTTTTGGTGGCTTATTTTGTTACCTTTCGGGCAGGAAATTAGGTGGTGCTTTGCTGTTTCGCAAGCGTCCCAAAAGCATATCATAAATGGAAAAGGAGCTGGAAAAACAGCTTTGCTTGAAAGTATCAGATCAAATCCTCTATATATATAATATAATATAGTATATAGGATCTTTGCCATGTCGCAAACGTTCCGAAGGCATATATATCTTATAAACAGGTGGAAATAGAACTTGGTAAAAGCTGAAAAGCTGAATAAGCAGGTGGAAACAAGTGGGAAAAGAACCTGGAAAAAGCTGAAAATAGACACTTTTGGTCCGGTTTCAGAAAAGACGTTAAGCATTTTTGGTGGCTTATTTTGTTACCTCTCAGGCACGATATGAGGTCTTGTTTTGCTGTTTCGCAAGCGTCCCAGAAGCATATCATAAGTAGGTGGATGAAGGAGCTGGAAAAACCTTTGCTTTAGAGGATCAGATCCTCTATGTATAAGATCTTTGCCATTTTCAAGCATTCCAAAGGCATATCATAAGCAGGTGGACACAGGTGGAAAAAGAACATGGAAAAAGCTGCGCTGCAACAGCAGCAACAACAACAACAACAACAACAACAACAACACTGACAACGACAATGACAACGATAACGACAACGACAAGAACAAGAACAAGAAGAAGAAGAAGAAGAAGAAGAACACGGACAAACATGCGACAAAAAATGTGTGGTAAGATGGTTACAAGCTGCGGTATGACAAGAACATCACACTGTGCTCTGCACCTCCGCGCGCGCAGAGCACATGAACAACAACAGCTCCCACACTACTATACATAGCCCTTGTGGCATCGCCGGTGTGCGAAGCTCTACGATAATACACTCAAATATATTCAAATACATCGCCCACGGCTTGCAGCTTGTAGCTTGCCCTATCAAGTCCTTATCTCAATGTCGCTGAAGGAATTCAGTCAGCTCTAATTCAGTAAGTAGGGCAATTATGGAGCGCCGCCTAGACTTGGATCAACTTCAAAAGTGGGGCAAACAGAGCAGCTGTTGCCCATGATGTCCACTCATCAACTTCACTGTGTCACTATGATTAAAAACCAATAGTCAACGACCGAAAGTCCAGGATGCGATCCCGACACCCCGCTCCGCCTCATCACCTTCAATTGTTGTTGTCACATGATTTGTCATCATCTTAAATCCGCCGACCCTGATATCCCAATGACCTCAACGTGTGGGCATATTTTGGGCATGCTAGGACCCAGTGCGCTCCGTTCGATCCACTGTTCTTGGCCTTCATCCGCCCAAGGACCTGGGGAAATCATGAAAATCTAGGAAAGCTCTCTCTTGGAGCTGAAGCTGATCAAATGTGTCGCTTGTCAAAACAATAAACTTGAGAGATGTGACTCGTGACAAGCAGTGAAAAACAAAGAGAAGCAATGTGAGGTAAATCTCTACATTCCGTTCAGTCCTAATGAACAACAAGTGTCTAGAGTCTGGCAGTGGAATTTGGAGACTGGATTCTTGGCCCGGAGCTTTTGCAGTCTGGTTTCGGCGGATTATGCGGTCTGGTACCCAGCTCACGGGGAAGGCCGAGACTCAGACTGGGAAGCAAGACGTGGCAAAGAGAAGAAGAGGAGAGGAAGAGAGGAGAGAAAGGACAGGAGCAAATGAGTCCTGAGTATGTACTTGAGACGAAATTTCAAGACCCCAGCCTGAAAGAAACATAAGATATTATAGCATGGTCACTGTTAGTGGGGGAACAGACTAAAATTGATTTGATGCTGTCGTTCATTTTCTTCTAATGTTGGCTGGCAAAAAGACTTCCAAAACATGGTGCTGGCATGTCGTCCAAGACAAATGAATGAAACGAACTGCTTCTTGGATACTTTCAAACACCTTGAACCCGTCGGTATCACTCGGCATACTAATTCTGAGTCGGAGGCAGCACCGCAATCTCCCAAGTGTACTAAAGATAGCCTGCAATGAGCCCATGTGTCAATTCTGGATTGCAAGAAATGCGAGAGACCGTTTGAGTTTGAGTTCACAAGTCAATGAAATGCATCGAATGGAAAAGATATGAGAAGATAATGTTTGATTACAACTGTGAGCATCAATGCAGTTTACGACATCTACAACTGGTGCAGTGAATGCACTCTCCAATGAAGTGTGAGTAGCTACTTCATTCCACTTCGCTCTAACTTTTACGTTATCTGTAGTTGTGCAATGATCAAACAAAAGGCTTCACACATAGAGAAATTATTGATACTCTGGGTATCTCTGGGTACCTTGTAGGGGAAACAACGGTCATGACCTGAAGAAACAAACATCAAAAGCCATCCAAGAATTGACTTCCTAATTCGCAAGCGTCTGCTCTCGTATGTTACACAGTCTCCTGCACAAGCCACACATAGCCACACAAAGCGAGTGATTGAGGGACTGAGGGCATTTCAAGAGCTTCTGAGAGGATCCCAAGCAAAAACCCTTCAGACATCTTCAGACCATTTTAGACCACTGTTGATTCATTGATGCTCAAGAGATTTGGGTCTTGGTTGCCTGCGCTTCTGCTGGCCGATGCCATCAACCTGCATGACTGCACCTGTGGGCTTCAGGGAAAGCAAGCCGAACCACACGCAAATATATATATATATATTATATAGATATAGAAATGATATAGATAGATATATTATATAATATATATATAGAGATAGATATATCATCATCCAGAATACTGCACAACTACAGTAGATATTCAACGGTAGAAAATAATCTTTGGAAATTCAACATGCAGTGAACATCAAGAGTCTGAGAGAACAGAGCATTCTATGTACAAGTAGCTGAAATATGTTGAAATGTCATCACAGAAACCACCGTGCGACTTTTGCGATCGGCGACTGCAAAGGCATGGAAGAGTTGCACTGGGCCACTGCAGCTACAAGACATGCTTCGAATTGCTTCGAATTGCTTCACTGATTGGTGATCTGATGTTATCTGTCATCAAATTCACTTTCGTAGTTTTCACCGGACTCTTCCGACTCTCCTATCTGAGAATCGAAGTCACTGAAGATGCCATCTCCATCCGTGACACCCCAGGTGACTGGCTCCGCATCTGGCACAATGGCTGTAAAACCACAATCAGAAGCTTTGATCTGCGTCACGTCTCTGAGACGATCTTGCACTTTGCCTCGACAACGCGATCGAGTGACCCAGGCCAAACTGATCCAGACTGCCCAAGTGAGAGATATTGAGAGACATTCTGGAAATTTCTGGAATGCTGTTGATTCGTTAGATTACATTAGAGATCGTGAGACAATATTAGAGCCCAATTTTTGCAGCTACTGGGTACTGTCATCCAAGTTGCTACTGTCACCACCGTATCCGGAACCACCCCAGGTCACTACTTTTCCATCGGAACGGATTCCAGCAAAAGCGCCTTTGCTCGCAGCAATGTGCTGCACATTCCTTGGGAAAAAGTATGGCAGCCTCACGGCATGAAACATTGGGAATCCCAAATATGTTGGATGTCGATTCGTGGATAACCCCCAAAACAAGTGAAGGAGAGTCAATGAAACGGAATGCTAAAGAGAACCTTTCCTGGAAAACACGACATGACATGACATGAATCTGCAGTCTTAAGTAAGAATCTTAAAATATGTGAATCTAACTTCAATTCATTTTCCTTTGTTGGGCTTATTGGTGCTGAGAGAGAAGATATTTGAGTAGACTTTGTTAACATTGGATCATGCCTTTCTTTTTCTTATCATGTCCTTCCTTCTCCTTTATTTTATCCCCTTCCTTTGCTCTAAGAATCTAAGATAATCTAAGCATTCTTTGGACAACGGTACTGCGCAAGATGCCAAAAGCAGCAGTAAAGGAATCACGCCTTTTGAGATTCACCAAAAATTCTCTGGAAGCTCCTTTATGTAATTCAGTGCAATGCCAGCATTTCAACAATTCAGTATCTGGCTGCATGGGGTACCTCGTTGAGAAGCTGTTTGGGTTTTGTTTGAATGTAGTAAAGGAGCGGTCGTCTTTCGGGATTCTTGAACAAAACTCAGAGAAGTCTGGGGAAGCCTGTCTACTTTTCACTCCCACATACTCCCACGGGCACCGTTCCCATGGAATTGAATTATATAATAATATATCTTGCAAATACTTTCCCAAATTTAAGTTCACAGCCATCCTACTCTTGTTGGAAGTCTTGCCCTCTTTGTACGAGTATTCCTCTGCAGTTTCAATGAGTTTGGTGAAAAATCTGAGACGGCCTAAGGAAAGCCAACCCTAAGTACAGGAGCGAGCGTCTGAAGCTGATTCTGGACCCCACTAGCATCGCCGCCATATTCAGCATGACCCCAGGCAACAACCTGGCCATCTGTACGGATAGCTG